CGGGAAAGAGAGGAGGAGGGGAAGAGGCTCACATCGAGCCTGTCGTTGTGCAATCGTGTGCTTGGGGAGGGCCTGAGGTAGAGGGCGCCGTCGATGGAGTCCAGCGAGGTCCTCGGGCGGCTGCGCGGGCTCCGGGCGGCGGTGAATCGAGGACGAGGCGGCGGCGTACGGCGGGTCGGGCGCGGTGTCGGAGCTCGCAGATCGGGAGAAGGGGGAGGCGAGGAGGAGGCGTTCGGCGAGGTCCGGCGACGGGGTCGGGACTGCACCAGGCGGCGGCGTACGGCGTCGGGGCCTCCTCTGGTTCCAGCCCCCGTTTCAGATCGGGGGGGAGAGGGAGGAGAGAGTGGGGATCATGCCCGGGGAGGGAATGGGTGGACCGGCTAGGGTTCCGAACGGGGTGGGGGTTAAGGGGAGGCCGGCTGGTGGCCTGCTGGGCCGTGGCCCAGTGGGCCAGGGGGGTTTGTGTTTCTTTTTCCCTTTTTTTTATTTATTTACTTTTCTGTTTTATTTTAGTTTCCTTTTATTTGAGTTTCTGTAAAATATATACATAGCATCTAATTTAGTATTTCAGTTTAGTCCACCGTCACAAAATGTCTAGTCCCCAATTAATTTTAGTTTGATAATTTATTAGTTAGTAAAGGCACTTAATTATTTGTTTTTATTACTGTTTTATTTATTTCAGTGCAATTAAATACTTTATAAAAATGTGGATTCTCCACCATAATTATTTATGCAATATTTGGCACATATAGAAAATTTTAGTTTTAATGTTCGAAAACTTTTGTTGTTTGCCTCGATTTTGAATTTTGAATTCGGACGGGATTAAATCATCGCGAGGTTTACGACAGTAAGAGTGGTGACGTGGCATCATTAGCAGAGTTTTACTGTAGCCTAATTATCCGGGCGTCACAATTCTCCTCCACTACAAGAAATCTCGTCCCGAGATTTAAGAGGGGGACTAAGGGGGAAAGATCTCTTTATGAAAGTTCTAACGAATCTTCTCAGTTTTGTTTGCTCTTCTCGAAGAGGTCGATCCATTACATTGGTGTCTTCAGTCCTCTGCTTCAACGCATCATGATGAAATTATCGTCCTTTCTTCAGGATCTCCATCGTACTTACGAATAGGTAAGGGGCAGCTCGGCTACGACATAAGGCTTATGAGGGAAACAATCTGGGGTTAACCCATGAATGAGCATAAGATTATCTCTCGAGTTGAACATATAAAATACATCTAGAGTAAGGTACAAAGGTACAATAAGAGGTTCCAAGCGGATAGGTGGTTGCTCGAAGTCCGAACCAGAGTGAGAAAGGGGTTCAGAGTAGCGACAGTAAGTATTGCG